ACATTGACTTCGTTCAATCGCAATGCTGACACTCCGATTATTTTTAAAGATTAAACCTCCTGAAAAATCCGTAAATCTGCTGTAAATTCTCATGGAGTAAAATTTATTTCAGTACAATAAAAATTGATGGATATACTTCGGATTAATTATCTTATATATCATCACAAACCGGGAAAAAATCGCGTTTTCAACCTTGTTTAATGATAACACGAAAATTTTCTACGACAATTTTAAAGAAATGGATTAAAGGAAAATCCCACCCACAATTAACCGTGTTTCGATTTTAGTGACGGTATGTTCCTAAACGGCGACCAAACATAATGTGCGCCGTAGGCACACGAAATTTTGCGATTTTGCGACTGGAAAAGCGTTTTTAGACTGTCGCGGGACTCAACAAAACTTATATTGTTTACGGTTTTATTTTCAGTATTTTATAATGCCGCTTTTCAATCAAATTTAGATCGCGGTTTTAATCCTTTTGTCTTTAGAACCTCCCCACCGATGAACGTATAATAACTCACGAATTCACAATTCCGTGCAGAGTACAAAAATGAAATAATTATCATGTTTATCGTGGCACAAATTTATGATTTAGAAAGAATAAAAACCGACCTAAGGGCGTTTACGGCCTAAATAAAACGCTGATGAAAACATGGGCGATTTTAGCAGAAGGCAATTGCCTGCTTTTTCAGTTTTCACATTTCCGTGCGAGTACAAAAATAAAATAATTATCATTGTTCCCGCGGCACAAATTTGTGATTTGAAGAGAATAAACACCAATGTGAAGGGCGTTCACGGCATGAATAAGACACCGCGTTGAAGAAAACGAACGACGATTTTAGCAGAAGGCAATTGCACGTGTTATCGGCAACTTTTTCACTTTTTAAAAAATTCAAAAGGGGGGGGGGGGTTCGACCCCGAAAACCCCCCCCCTGGCTGCGCCACTGGTTGCGATATCACCCTGCTGTAGCCTGCCCAACAATTGCCAAAATTTAGTAATCGATCAATCTGCAGTGATTTGTGCGTCGCTTTGTAAACATGATTTCGAAAACAAAGCAGACCATTTCAATCAGATTTTTTCATCTCGATATAGGAGAAAAAATACTTGCTTGTGGAAAACAAAGCTTCAATGCCTAGTATGTCGGCAAGTTGTGTAAAAAAACATATACCTAAACATATATAAAAAAAACATACTTAAACGACATGTTAACTTCATTCATAAAAGCACTTTTTTCGTTGTAAAGAATCTGGGACTAATGTGGCTGCAAACAACACAAAATTAATATTGTGACCCGCAACGCCGACAACCTTGGACCACCTTGTTATAATATATCAACATTTTCCGGGATGAAAAGTCGAGTGTGGTCCAAAAGGTATTATAACCATAATTCCGCAAGTACTCCTATCTCACAAAAGTCCTCTGCACATTTATGTCTTGTGCCACAATGACGTCAAAATTAGGTTTTTTATCACCTGGGCCCCGGAACTGTGCGTTCAGTGTGAAAACATCGTATTATGTGACAGTGATTAGGGGAGATAATCTGAAACTCAAATTTCCGGCTGAAAATATAGGAGTAAAATACCAGGACTGAAATAGGGCATTATAAAATAGTAAAAAAACGAAAAACACCGGGAACTGTCATTTATGTGGCCATGCCAGATAAAAGAAATTGCTATGTAATGTTATGTACCTAATACAAATCAATTCTTCAACTCACCTGAAGGTGTCTCTATTTTTTCATGATCACTTTTGTTAATAGTGATTCCTGATCTTGCATCAAGAGTGACTGAAAATATTAAGTATATAAAGATATATGTTATATTGTATTCTGCTTATCAACTAAAAAGTAATGCAGATGACTTTTAATGTAGAAACATTAAGACAGATGTTATTTCGGTAGGTTAGGTATATTTTACAGGTATAGGAGGTTGAAAATGGAATTTAATGACATAAAAAATATTTTGATTACACCCCAAGGAATAATGATTCAACTTTATTGTATGTATCTACCAAAATTCTATTCCATTTTCTATTCTTTATCTACAAGAAACAAAACTTACTGTTATAAATCGCATGGTATTCAGTTACTTCCTCTAAAAAAAAGAAACATTTGAAAGTAAATGAGTACTTTATTGTATGTATCTACCAAAATTCTATTCCATTTTCTATTCTTTTTCTACAAGAAACAAAACTTACTGTCATAAATCGTATGGTATCCAGTTACTTCCTCTAAAAAAAAGAAACATTTGAAAAAAATGAGTTCTGTTATTTAGAAAGCAATTTAAAAATATTTAAAATTGCTCTTTATTCACGTACCAATTAAATTACTCTCCTGTCGTCGTCTCTGTTCGACTATTTTGGTGGGATCTTGAAACACTTTCCCTTTGCTTTCCCCTTCTGCTTCTGGTCCTCCTGTTGCCCAAAGTTTACCTATATTTCATGATAAGTTGAAAATTCTTGATTGGGCAACATTCTTATTCACAGCTAACATTTATTTTTTCTCTATTTGTTAGCTTGAGCCAGAATTAATATTGGGGATATATACTTACTTTTTTATATGACACTCCTTGACGACTTTTGCTCCAAACAAAGCCCTGTGCATGTTGCCACAGATAACTAACTACCGGTATATAAAATGATTTTTTCTATTTCTACTATTGAGCATGTAAATTTTCATAAATCAAATTTTATGGTGTTCGGAAATGACCTGTTGTATAAATTCGGATAAATGAAACATCTTTTTTCCTGTAGAATCTGACACATAATATACATCGGGAGCAATACTTTGATATATTATAAGCTTTTCATTCACTTACCAGACAAATCCACTTCTCTTGTCCCTTTAGGAGGAGGTCCCATTGCTTCCTCTTCACTTGCAGATAAATTTATCGATTCTAGACTCAGCGAATCCATTGCATCTGTTTTAGATATGTTACGTTAGTAATTCATAGAATATTGAATAGTGCACGTAAAATATAGATTTCCCACGCTTTTTTATTGTTTCATAGTTTCAGTTGTGATTTTAAACATTTTCATGTCCTTTTTGTTTTTCTAGCTTATTGTCAATTTGTGAAATTTAGGTATAAACAAAGTAACTTTATTTTCGTTTTGTCTTTGAGTTTTCAGAAATTTAAATTTAGTCTCAACAAAGTTTCAATAAACTTTATTGAAATCAGTTGTCAATACTTTTATACAGCAAGTGGTTAAATATTAGGAATCATAAAAATGATGTATATGATAAATGTTGTGAGCGCCAACTTGCGCAATTCTCAAATTAAGCATACAGAATTTTGCAATGGTTGCAAGTGAAGGATGAATTTTTTTGTGGGCACCGGTTAGGAAAACTTCCAACGTCCTGTAGGATTGACGTATTTGTGTGATACAGCTTACTGGTATGATATACTGATATGAAGTTATAACTTTTTGTGGTTTGGAACATAAATATAACCTGTTATGGTCTCTGAAGCAATACTTAAAATATTAGATATTTTAGTTCACTTGCCACTTAGGTCATTGTCTATCGTTTCTTCTGTCTGTTCAGCAGACACTCTAATTGGGGTCCCATTGCTCGTAAGTTGCTTAGTTGGTTCTTGGTGTCGCAAATCCCTCTTCTCTGTATTGGAATTGATATTTACGTTAGTTACTGCTCGCAAAATATAAAATACATGTTTGAATCCTGGATGTTAGGTAAAGGTAAAGTTAAATGCAACCAACTTTTAAATTTCCACTAGATGGTGATGTGAGACTTTACTTTTATATTTTTGCATATTCTCTGTTCTGCCTGTTGCCCATTGCTCGGTACTTCCGAAGTATGTAAACCAAGATGGCGGACACCGGAACATAGTATGTGTACCCGGTTAGGATTAGGCCATAAATATATTCCAATTTGCCTTCTTTTAATTCTATTGCAAGTTTGGGGACAAGTCAAATGACTCCTGAAGTATTTGTACCTAAAATTATGACCTAACTCTAACCTTGTGGGCTGGTACACATACTACGTTCCGGTGTCCACCATCTTGGTTCACATACTTCGGGAGTACCCATTGCTATACTAAAATTTCAAAATTAGTTATTCGATGATTGAAAGTTCTTGATTTTATGACATTTTTATTTGAAGTCGATACTCATTTTTTCTCTATTTGTTAGGTTAAGCAAGACGTCACATTAAAGATGTCTGAGGAATCGGACATTACTGCTCTATCAACATATAAACAAACCTTGGTCATGTAGTGTCAAATTATTATCTTCTGTTTTTCTTTCAGGAGATCTCGGCCCAGGATTTTTTTCAATCCCGTGCATAGCAAGCAGAGCAAAAAAGAGCATTCTTATTGCCAGCATCATTCGTGATGAATGAGGAAGTAATTGGAGAATGAAGGAGGAAGAAGCATTTGCCTTTGACCTCATCCCACCCCGAAACATGCCAATTCTAATTCGGTAGGTGCACAAATTAACATTGGTCATTATTTTTTTTTCTACTAAGTCAACTGTATAATAAAACACAAGAAAAAAAATAAATTACATTTTTTTCTAATTAGACTACTAGATACAGATAAAGAATATTCCACTTCTATAAGGATATTTCACTTTTTTAAATTTGCAACCCATATATCATTTATTAACTAACTTTAAGAGATATAGTTCAACAAACTAATATATTTTCTTCCTGGGTCATTTACTAAGCTAGAGGCCTAATAATCAGCTTAAAATCTCTTTGAATTTATCAAATTAAGTAAAAATTTCACATTCCTGCACTTTGCACATTTCTGGTTAATACAATAGAAAGATTCAAAACACCAGTGTAGTTAAAACAAGCGTGAAAAAGCTATAAACAGATGAGAAATAATATATTGAAATCAGAATTATTTAATATTATCGGAAGATTTGGAAATGATTAACGCTTATTAATAAATGTACATCAGATAAAAGCCTATTCTCATTCTTAACTGCGTTACAATCCAAATTGTATCCAGCAAAATTATAATAAAGTATATATTCATGTTCAATAAAAATATTTTAGTTCAGCGAGACCTTTATCTTTGGACTCTCTAACTGTCACGGTCAAAATGGAAAGGAATTTGGGGAATCTTCCTTTAAAAAAATCCCACAGGTATTTGTCATTCAGAGAAATTTTTTTCACAAACTCATCATCGCTGTGACTTTTTCTGTGTCTAATAAAACAGAGTAATGAGTATGTAGAATTGCCATTGTATTTTACTTCACTCTGATTCAGAAGGTTCTTTATGCAGCCGGCTTGATTCTTTGGTATGTCGTACAGCTGGCATTCATTGGTGGACAGTTGCAATCTCTCACACCAATTGTTTTTGGAATCATTCATCTTGTAGTCTCTACGCTTAGCTCCAGTCATTGGGTTGATGAGATTCAAATCGCCTTTTAAGCCTCTTTTAAAATTCCATTCTTCCGTCGCTCTATATAACATTGTGCAAAAATTAAGCCTGTCTGTGTTACTCCAGAAGAAGGGATGATTTTTCACTTCTTCCAGTGCTGGTCTATTAACTGCTTTGTTATTTATCATTCTTTGAATGAGATTTTCTGCTATTTCAGCTTCACTGCATTTCAGTTTGGTTAAATTTGGCCTATTTTTCATGATGTTATGTGATCTGGAATCCGCTTTATCTCCAAAAGCATGTTTTCCTTTGGATAGAATAAAATAAAAAATCCCTCCAAGTGAGAAAACATCTGTAGATTCAGTGACATTCAATTTGGAGTCTGGCTGCATCTCTGGTGAACTGTAATCTGTGGTCTTTTTATTCGGATAACTGCTGTTCTGTAGCGGCGCATGCAGGATTTCCTTGCTGAGTCCAAATCCATAAATTACAACTGTGATCTTCCCGTTATCCTCTTCATAGAACACATTCTCAGGTCTGAGATCTCTGTGAATTATTTTTTCCTTGTGAATATCCCCCAATCCTTCTGTCAATTGTGTCAAAATATCCTTTACATTTTCCTCACTTAATGTAGAAAAGTCAACATCATTGAGTGTTTTATCTTCGTAGTGTCGCATAACTGCGTATATACATATTTCACCATTGTGAATTTGATTGTTCTCAAAGAAACCAGAGTGTTTATAAGTAACTACATTGGGATATTTTTCTAATTTGACTAAATTGCATGCTTCTCTTTCATCTCTTTCTTCAATATAACAATCGACCTTGACAAGAACTTTTCTGTCCCCTACAATTTTATTTGTCTTTATTCCTTCATATAACCCATCAATTTTAGTTTTTCCTGTTATTTTTGTATTTTCTTCCAAATCTATTGGTACCAACATTCTGTTTTGAGTCTATACTGTTTACGAATTATCGCTTCCCAGTGTTGTGGAGTAAATAGCATTTACGACCGCCAGTCCGGGTGAAATAATACAGTGATATTATTTTTTCCACGGACAACTACGCTTCTTTGTGGGGCGTGCCTTATTGGGTACGTCATTATGAAATTGGTAGCTATACTGTTTTATATTTTAATATTTCAGAACAGGTGCCTTTGTTTGGTGACCTCAGGTGGTTACATATCTGCCATACCTGTATCATGTATTCTTAATTTCATCACATCATTCTTAGTTGATAAAATTTCCTATATTTAGGGCTTTGTTATGCTTGGCCTATCTTTAATCAAGTTCTGATTTCTGTGTTATGGAAACCACTCTTGTGTTTTGGTGACTTTTAAATACCAATCGTATAGTGTTACAAAAGATCCCTTTTGTTCGAATTTTTAATAAATGTTCCACATGATTGTGATTGTATTGATTAAAAGCTTTCTATAAACAATGTCTGTCTGGCCTATTATTATGCTTTTTACATTTTTCTAAGAACATTGGGTATTGTATAGAACAGGGGCCACCAACCTGTTGTTGCGGGCACTAAGTCGCCCTAACGTCTGTTCTGAATTTATTTCAAATAACGGTGCTTATCATTAAGCTACAACTATTAATTTTATTCTTGTTGAAACCTTATATGAGAAATGGAAATGACAATATGCTAATTATTGTAACGTTCAACATTTTCTATATGTAATCTCCAGAATGTCACAGGTCATTTAATACTGTTCCAATTATGACATCACACACACAATGTTAAGCCTTGATGCTTTACAGATGGAGCTTGAAATTGCAACACTGCTAAATGAGCTCCTCCTCAAAGCCAATCAGGGCTTGTAAAACTTTAGGGTCCTAGTTGACATAGAAAGTGCCATGGTGAATGAACAGAGGCTTTGAAGGTCCTAAGCTTGTTTGGTTCAACCTATCTTTCTGAATCAGCTTTTATGACATGAACCTCATCAAGAACAAACACTGAACATGCCTCACCCATGAACATCTGCAAGACTCACTCAGAGTTGTAGTGTCTAGTTACAAAGCAGAGCATAAAACGTAGTTGGAGATAATGCAATACCAGGTTTCCCATGTAGGCTTCTGTCTAGATTTGGCCAGGTTGTGAATATGATCGTCATGATTTGTTAAATGTGTTTGTAAAATATAACATATGATAGCACAACTGCTTAGTGGATAATTTCTTGAATATTTCAAATTATCAGTGTCTCTATGGCAGGGGTCGGCAACCTACGGAGCACTATAATCTGGCCCGCGAAGCTTCACTAAACTATAGTAACAAAACATCCGTTTTGACAAATATTCTTTAGACTAAATTAAATTATAACCTAACAATTATATATTTCACAATTACTCGTTTAATGGGCATATTATAATGAAGCAAATGGCATCAAAACGCAGAAAAGTTGATGTTAAGTGCAGAGGATTCAATGGCGCTGAAAATATTCAAATGGAATTTTATGAGATGCGAAGAGGAAATAAATCTATATTCTATTCAAGAGATGTATCACTGCTTGATTTTTATTATAAAAAGTACCATCCGTTCGGTTTTTCAACTTTCTAAATATATGTGTGGCCCGCCAATGACCTGCAATCTTAATTTTGGCCCGCGAGCGACAAAAGGTTGCCGACCCCTGCTCTATTGCTAAATACCATTAATATCGAATTGGCTTTTTAGAAGCGTACTCTCAGCTTAATTGGTACCCAGAGAGTAGCCCGCTGCTTCAAAAAGGTTGGTGGCCCCCGGTATAGAATTTCCTTTTTGTAAAAATATTGGATTTAACATAATCAATCTAATTTGGAATTTACAATTCGCAAAAGGTATTAGATCAAGTTCAATAAACCTATAAATTACACTAAATTTTTCTTGTTATGAAATTTTTTTAATAGCATAGGTGCCTATTATTATGATGAATTGTTCAAGTATTTTTGCTCTAATGCAGGAGTCCTAAACTTTTGGTCCGTATTCGGAACTTTTTTTTCCGTATTGGGAAATATTACACTGATATTTGTTTTATTACGTCAATTACACTTCTTTGCTGGGGTATGTCTCATTTGGTACGTCATTATAAAATTGGAATTCTCTTTTTGATATTTTAATTCAGAACAGATGTAAATTTCATTACATGATTCTTATTTGGTAAAATTTTCTTCATTTAGGGCTTCGTTATGCTCGGCCCATCTTTGATCAAGTTCTGTGTTATGGAAACCACTCTTGTGTTTTGGTGATTTTTGAATAACAATAGTATAGTGTTACAAAAGTGAGCCCTTTTGTTCTAATCTTTAATAAATGTTTCATGTGATTTTAATTGAATTGTTTAAAAATTCCTATAAACAATGTCTGTCTGGCCTATTATGCTTTTTCTAGTTTTATTAAGCACATTGTGTATGGTATAGCACATCGGTTGGCAAATTACGGCCCGTGGGCCAGATCCATCTCAACGAAGTTTTTCATCCGGCCCACTTGTGCCTGTAGAAATTATGACTATAGTCTTTATGGATATTAATTCCCGTTAAAATTTCAATGAAAATGACGAATAAACCGTAATTCACGTATTATCTGCACCTGTATATAATGTGCCACTCGGCTGTTAATGACCTGTTTTTCATACTGAGTTTTGAGTCTGTAACTGACCCACTCAGCCAAGTGATTGCCCCTGGTACAGAATCTTTCTTTTTGTACTTGTCCTGTGCAGTTGTTAAAAATATTTCACCACTTCAACATTATTAAGCAAATTTGGAATTTCAAAAGGTTTTAGATCAAGTTCAATTAACCTATGGATTACACTAAATTTTTCTTCATATGAAATACTTTTAATAGCGTAGGTGCCCATTATTCTGATGAATTGTTCAGGTATTTTTGCTCTAATGCTAGGGTTCTCAAACTTTTGGTTTTATGGAGCTCGTGAAAAGGTTGACTATATTTACAGAGCCCCACAATAAATTTATAAAAATAAAATCAAAAACGCATTGTTCCTTAGCGATTAAACCGATTACTTTATTTAATGCTGCTTTGTATTTGAAAAATTCGCTTGAAACTTATTTTAAAGTAGTGTCGAAATGTGGAAAGAAATTGGGTATTGAAATATGGCATTATCTAATGGAACTTAAATTTATCTATTATAACTTATGGTTTTTCGTATTCAAATTACGGCCTTTTTGCCACATTTTGATACTACCTTTGTTAAACTTTATTATTGCCGTTATTGCTTCTATGGACACTTCGTTCACTTTTGTGAGAGAAATTTTTTTCCCCACTGTGTGGTTAGTATTTGTTTTGAAGCTTTCATTAAGTTTGATGTCATGACCGCCATACTTTCTTTGCTGTGTTTTCCGTTGCTAGTTCTTTTCATTTTATGACAATTCACTTTCTATATTCTTCACCATCATTGATCACACATTTTAATTCCTATTTTTAATAGACCCATCTTCTATTTTGTCATAAAAATGTACATTATTTTGTTGTTTCACAAATAATTCACTGGCTCGTTATATTGTGCAATTCGAATTTCCTCCACCATGAAGTCCCTGCATCTGGATTAAATAACTGGCTAACTGACCTCGTACTCGAGGTAAACTGGTGGCCGGATGGTAGAGCTAAGATCTGAAGCCCGAGCCCTCAAATTTTCGGGTCGGGTCGGGCTTCTCTATCGCTGACTTTTTTTTTGAATGAGGCGTTTCGGCCGTGGCCACATATTGTACTAAACTCTTGCAATGTAACTCCTAAATAAAATTTGAAATTTAGGGTTTGCTTCTGGCTCGGGCCTGCAAATCCAGGTAATTAGTCAGGCTCGGGTCAGGTTTAATACCCACGGGCCAGGGTCAGGCCGGATGGATGAGAGGCCGTCATTGGCCATATGTTTAAGCGATCTTATCAGCTTTACTCTCCCCTGGGATAAATATGTGAATCTTATCTTATGGTAACCGGTCTAGAGGCCGTGGATCACCATATTATGATTGAGTCGCATTATCAGCTTTCCTCTCCCTGAATATTCACGTAAATTCTATCTTATTCAGTTACAAAATTAGTCAAGTTAGTATTTTAATGAGTAAATTAATAGCTCGCGGAGCCCCCATGTTTTTCCCAGAGCATTGATCACACTTTCGCTCATTTACTTCATTTTTCACATGAATGAACCCAATGTTCATTTTATGGCTTTGAAAATTAACACCTCATCGATGATGAAAATATAATCCACAAGTTTCGCATGGAATATTCGTTTACCGTAATCGCTTGTAATTTTTGGTGTTTTTTAAAAGTTTTTATTATTAACAAAGTCTATTCATGCTAGAATATTGCCCAAATATTGTGTGGAATACATGATGTGAAAAATCCAACTTAGTGTAAAATTTAAGTAGGATATTCTTGAACTATGGGTCCCCGACTTGTAATTTATTGATATTGTTGGTAATAGTAATTGATAATTTGTCATTTTGTTTCAGTTATGGTCAAGCCAGAACATTCCTGATAAAGCTTGGTGGCGAAGGTTATCATAGGTGAGGAGAGATTTCTTTTGCACAAACATGTGATCTGCGACAAAGTACTTGGAGGTAATTGAGATTTAATGATATCTTCTAGGTAATTATAGATGTATTGCCATAACTGGTTAGTATACTTGTCAGTTGACACCCATCATCCTCTGAACAACACTATCCTATCAAACTATCTGTGCGTAATGTACACCACAATGGCTCCAAAAAAACTTTTCAAAATCTCCCCCCACTTTCTATTATATGATGTTGGAATCTGGTCATATTGTCAATGACTTGAGTCTTCAATTGGAGTCGTTGTAATCTGAAGATATGCCTTTATCAAGATGTAGCAAGTTCGAGTCTAATCATTGACCTAAGTTTCACTGATTTTAAACATGAGTACAAATCATTTCATTTAAGTCAAACCCATGAACTAATCAAAATGTAGTGTTATAGTTCAGTGTTAGGTAGGA